GAAACGGTGGCGGAAACAACGGGTTTAACGGGCGGTTTCGGTGGTGTTTGGGGCGAAGGGGTGGGAGAAAGGTTGTGTCGCGGAGATAGGCGTGGTGGCTGTGGTGCCGGTGCGTGCTGGGTCTGACCCGCAGTTTGGGGTTTGAATTTCTTGTCAGGCTTGGTAAACCTCTAAACAGTGCTGTAAACGCATTGGGAAGGAAATTGGGAGGTATCGTCGCGAAGGTGACGGCCTGTGTGTGCGGGCCTTGCGAAGGCCGGGCGGATCTGGCGTTAGTGGCCGGGCTGCGAGGTGTTGGGGTGTGTCGGTGAGGCCTGGAGCGTGGAGCTGGGCCCTGGCAGCTCTCGCCGGCCCTGGGTCCCTCGGGCGCCGGTGGGTCGTGTCGCTGGCTTTGAGCTCCCCGGCACGATCCGCCTGGCCTTTTGGCTTAGAAAAGAAAATTAACTGTATGAGTGTGGTTGGTTGGGTTGTTTATCCTGCAGCAAGCTAAACAGGCGTGCTGCTGCAGGTGGGTATACGGTGAATTAAGTCGTGTGTTTATCTACAAGAATAAGGCAAACAGGCGAAAACTAGGAACTGGAAGGAAATGCATTGTCTGGGTAGAATGCTAAAGAAGGATTTGAGAAAATAAATTAATAAGTAACCTGTACTAGTATATAGTTGATACAATTAAAATATAAATTAAAAAAAGGAAACCTAGTTAAGTACACAGACAGCTCTTAGGAATGTCACCTGTTTGATTTACTGATAAGTCCTTAAAACCTGCTGAATTAGCCTGGCTTCTATGCTGTTATACCTCAACTTGTGTCTCTTCTTGTTGACAAGACCGTGTGTTGCTTTTTCCTTCCTCTGACTCTGACAGACACGTGTGATCCCCCGGACAGGCTGCAGTATGCGGAGCTCGAGGAGCGTTTCAGCATGATGTCGAGATTTCCTGTTGCAACCACGGTGTCGTACGTCTGCCGGCCGGGGTATATGCGAATCCCCGGAAGATCGTTAGATCGTACGTGTGGTGAAGACTTACAGTGGTCACCCACAGAGCAGTTCTGTACGGGTAATGTGAGCATGAGCTCTTTTGCTTTTTCCTTTTGATATTTAATGATTTTAGTTGTTTTCGAGTGTGAATTAGTATTTTGTAATATATTAAACAAAGCTTGAAAAATGCTAATGACTGTGAAAGGAAGATATGCCAAAGACGTAGTCTTTGTATATAACTGCAAAGATGTAGACTTTTTTTTTTTCTTTTCTTTCCCCCTCCCCATAGAGAGAAAGTGTAACCATCCAGGAGAATTAGAACATGGTTTTATTAACGTGACGGATCTTGCATTTGGTTCAACAGCTACTTTGTCTTGTGAAGGAGGGTAAGTATTTTGGTGAAGTGAATGAATCCTCTTTCATTTTCTGTGTTTAAACCAGATTTCAGCCAAACATCAGTTTTTCTTATGCAGATTTCATTCCAGTTCTGACTTGAAATGTTTCCTGAATTCTACCTGGAGCAAATGAAATTACAGTTAAATTTGATGTGATTCCCTGATTTTACTTGCTGTTTGCATTAACCAAGGCTTAAGCTTTTTAGTGAGATTCTGTAGAGCAAAAACTAGAGTATTACCTCTAATGACTTCTTTTAATGCTCCTGTGGCAGAGGGAATAAATATATGTATTCATCACCCTTCATTATTATATTGAACAGTAGCCCATCTGTCTGTACATAGCAAGTGAAGTCAGAAGCACTAACCTCTTGCAAGGTTTTTTCCTCCCTTTCCTTTTAACAGCTTATTTTTTAAATATTTGTAACTCTAGGGCATTAGTATTAGAGGGTACATATCTTAAAATGGCAAGACTTACATCAGTTCGTTTAGTGACATGTTATTTGCTTCTCTCTTGTTTTCAAAGTTGAGACTGTTAGCAAAATATAAAAAAATAAGATACTATTCTCATTACAACAAAAATTTGGTATGTCATGTCCCCATAATCACAGAACAGAATTGTAGAAACAAAGTTTCTGGCTGCTTGTTGAAGAAATGAGAGATTTCTAAAGTTTCACCTATTTAAAAATTTTTACCTGTCTAGATACAGATTACGTGGAACTAATGAAATTTCCTGTGTAATTAAAAATAAAGGTGTTGACTGGGACAGAGATCTTCCTTTCTGTGAAAGTAAGTAAATTACTGCCATGTTTAAGTTTATATAGAGATGGTGGTAGTTCATTTTAAAACAGCTGTGCCATAAACTTTCCAGTACAAGAAATGATGGTAAAATAGGACTGGTTTTTACTTTTATTTTTTTGGAACTAGTGGGGGTGTGCCTGAGCAGTGACTACTGAAAAATACCAGTTATTGTGGTAATTAGCTCCTCATACTAGTTAAAGTCAACTTCTTGAAACTGAGACTCCCTATAATAAATGACCATCAGTAACTCTCAGTTATAACCACAGTTTGTCTTAGAAGTAGCTATGTTTTGGATTTTAAATGAATTTACTTGAAAATCAAGGCTCACTGTTTCTGAGGTGAACAAGGTAACAGCAAAATTCTCTTGACTAATTTGTGTAATTTATTTCTAGGAGTTCCTTGTGAACCACCTCCACGTATAGCCAACGGGCGCTACACGGAAGCAGATAGCTACGTTTATCAAACATCCGTAACCTATACATGTGATGATGTGAAAAACGGCGAGGATCCCTTCTCGCTGATTGGCCCATCTACTATTTTCTGCACATATGATGCACACTCAAATGGAGTTTGGAGTGAACCACCTCCACAATGTAGAGGTTGTTGGGATTTTTAATATACTACTTTATTATAGCCTGTGTGACTCCCAAACTTAAAGATCTGTCCCTTTTTTTGGAAGGGTTGGGGGGAAATGGACTTCCCTGTAGAAAAGAAGTAACAGATCCTCTGGTACTAAATTTGATGCAGTTCCAGTGCAGGTCAGATCAGCTACATGATATTGATCAGTTATGATACAGAATACAACTAAAATTTAAGTTAAAACTTCGAAAATATGTGTATGAGCATGCTGTTGGTAGAAGTGACAAAGGCAAAGTGAAGGAACGGAGAGACCAGAAAGCCTGGGTAGCTGAAGAAAAATTGTGTAAGGAGCAAGAATGTGGGAGCTAGATTATGAATAGTAAAAAGGTAAGGAAGAACTCTAAACACAGCTACTATGCAAATGCGGAAATAAATGCAAAGCCCAGCAAGCACGAAGTCTCGCTCTGCAGCCGTAGGGAGAAATACCAGGTGGTTGCATGTTGTCATTTGAGCCCTAATCAATATCACTTTGTTTTCTGAAATTCTGCCGCTGTACAGGAGTGTGCCTTTTGGAAGGGGTATGTGATTATATCAGTTATTACCGTTTCTTATTTGACTGTGTGCCGTTACAACTCAGTAGCTTAAAACAAGGACCTTCTGTACCTTGAAGAGAATAGTTTTTTTACAAAGCACCTTCAAAACAGTTTGAGGAATCAGAGAGATGTAGAAGTAGTAAAAGGATGCTGTGTCTGTTGAAAGATGCTGTTAACAAACATTTCAGAGCTGGTTTTCTTTTGCCTATTTCAGTGGTCAAATGTGATAACCCAAAAATAGAGAACGGAAGGAAAATAACTGGATTTGGACCTTCTTATAGCTATAAGAACTCAGTCATGTTTCAGTGTGATCCAGGCTATTTCATGATCGGACAGGATACAATTACCTGTGAAGCAAATAATGCCTGGTCTCCTTCAAAGCCAACTTGTGAAAAAAGTAAGCCTTTAAATAAGAATCTAACTTTTCTTGTGTGTTGAGAATGTTGTAAGTCTGTCCTAGCTATAATTTAAAATCATAACGCTGTAGTTGAAAATCAGAAACTAAGGACGTTGATACGGAGCCTCATCTATGGGCAACCATTTTAGGTGCTGGAGTGACTCAACTCCAAAGAGTTTTTGGATGAGAGTGAGTTGTGTTACAGACATGCGTACAGAAGCTGTGGCATGGACATACTGTGATGCTACTGCGTCGTCATAGCATCGTGGTGTTTGTTCTAGTGATTTCATGTGTAAATACAGGAGAAAAGATGTGCTTCTGAATTCTGATAGACAGGAATATGCACAATGAGGAATCCTATGGTGTCCCTCTAGAATAATCAAAACCATTATGTGTCTGTGTTCTCTTACGCGGCTCTTCAACTCTTACTTTCCGGGCATCTTGTATGGGGTGTATTATCTTGTTATGTTTTGACCAGACAGATTGTTAAGTCAGGACTAATTTGCAGGGCTGGGGAGGTTGCGGAGCACTTCCTGTAACCTTTCGCCTTCCTCTCTGTACTAGAGGGAATGTTGTAGAATACAGTGAGAGAATTTTTTACGTACATATTCTAATAATGAGTTCTCAAGAATGAGAACCACTTATGCAAAGAGTATGTTTGGGTGTTCCATTAATGAATGAGTCGATAAGGCACCGGGAAATGATTCTAGAGCTTACAAAAATAATTAACCAACAAACACAGATTTCTTAGCTGCCACATAATAAGATCGTATTACCTTAATGAATCACCACAGTGATGTTAAAATCTTTAAAGTCCTCTAAATTAAACTTTTATACTTAAAATTGTGGTAAACTACTCAGATATGCTGATCTATTTTCCTCATACAAAGGCAATATGTATTTGTGGAGTGAGTTAATGAATTATGAAATGTTTAAAGTTTGTTTTCACTAAACTTACTTTTAAATTCATGTATTAGTTACTGAAGCTGTATGTGGTGCCCCAAAGATCACAAATGGAGTAGTGATTCCGGCGAAATCGGTATATGAAGGAGGAGAGACTGTTCAGATAAAGTGCAGTGCTTACTGTACTTTTCCTGATGGCACTGAAGAGATGACAGTAACTTGTAAAGGACAGAATATATGGAATTTTTTACAGGACTGTACATGTGAGTAAACTCATAATTGGTAAAATCAAGGGCAAAGTGACAAGTTCTGTAATGTGCAGACCCTGAAAGTCAGAGGTCTGTCAGCAGGGCACTGACAGGTTAGGTTAGTAGGGTTGTGGGTGTCGTGGGGTGGAGCTTCAGCAACTGAGGAAAGTTTTTGGCAGAGTTGGGGTCCTTGTTCAGTCTTAATTTTGGTTATGGAAATTGGTAAAATTCAAAAGCCAGTGGGAAAGATCTGTTCTGTGTGTGTTTTCTGAAGATTGTTTCTTTGATGGTGGCAGACTTTGTTTCTGCCTCACTTTGCACTGTGATCACCTGTTATAATATAAACAGAGGCTGTCATTACTTTGATGCAACTGTTTGTCCTGATGAAGCTGAGATGTATTTCTGTTAACGTGTGTGAAGCATGTCCATCAGCAGCAGCAGTATCTGCAGCCTTGAGGAAGCCTTTGCATATGAAATGTCTTAAGAATTGGCTGAGCTTCTGACGCTCAAATGTAGGGACTTCTTGATGGCAACTTCTTGAATCTACTTCATGTACCAGCTCTGTTCCTGGACTTTATTTCCTTTTCTCCTCCCTCCCCTCCAGGTGGACCTATAAGTTCTGGTTTCACTCCAAAAATAAATCATGGTAGAGTAACTGATGGACAAAAACCGTCATATTCTGTCGGGGATTTTATTACAATTGAATGTTACGCAGGCTACACGTTACATGGTGAAGCTCGTATTGAGTATGCTGGAGAAAACCGATGGATTCCTGGAGTGCCAACTTGCCAGCTGAGTAAGTATGAACTGCAAGAATTTCTACTAGAATGAAGCAGAATCTTGACTTCCAGGGGACATTGTTCTGTGTTCAGGAGAAACCATTTAATGCAGACTTTCTTCTTTATTTTGGCGTAAGAAAAGTTGATTTTGGTAAAATCCATTTAAAAGAATACTTTAAGTTAAATAAATGTTGTGCTGTAAATTGTCCTGCTGCAAGGATTGTGTTGACGAAGTGCTTGATCTATTTGAAAGAACTTGGTGAATGTATTTATAATAATGTTCAAAGAAGAAGCACGTTATGTTCGTCTTGTGATACTGATTCACTTTGTTTTTAGGTGCGTATATTACGGCCATCATCTGTGGTAAGTGTCTTACAAAACCTGAACAAGATACACAGTGGATTGTATTTTTTTTGTGGAATTGATATTCTGGTCGTCACCTGTGACTGCAGTAATATAACATGATTTTGGAGTTTTGGTTATTTTAAAAATGCTTGTCTACTAAAGCTTTATAGTTCAAGAAAAGCTAAGATTATTTAGCAATTATAGGTTAATTTCATGTAAAATGTGTATTTTTTTCATGTATGTGATGTGTCAGACTGCAAAGGCAGTATTCCACAACTTGGTCACTTTCATAAACTCTTCAAAGCTTGGGTTTACTGGAAGCGTGGATAAATAACTGTGCCAGTGAACAAAAGTGCGTAGTCCATCTGCTGTCCTCGCATTTGTTACCCAGTCTTGTAAGCCTATGACTTTGTTAGAAACTTATAAAAAATAATGTTAGGTTGTTGATGTACCTGTTTTAGTGTTACTGAGCTGGTGAGGTTTTGCCATCTTGGTGGTCACTGTTGAGCTGAACCATCTTGAAGGGTCTCGAGTAAAGCATCAAATACATATTTGTGAAATAAGCCATGCAAACTTTAAGGATTTAGGGTTTTTTTTTGAGGGAGAGGGATTGTATAGGACTGTGGATGAAGACTGTTAATTTCTGCTAAAAAATTTTGAGGCTTTTTTGTGAGCTAGAGATGATCTGTATCAGTCTAAGGCTTTTTTTAATTCTTCCCAAAGTGATTGTGGCAGTTGTGCTGTTCCTGGCAGCCTTTTGGGTCTATAAGAAATTCTGTTCACAAAATGGGTGAGTAAGCCTACTTTGTTGTTGTTGTTGTTATTACTGCAAATTTCTAAATGACTGAGAAACAGCAATGCTAATGCGTATGTAAGTTTCTTGAGCTTTATCTGCCCTTTCTTTTTCAAATGTCTGATTGTATGTGAGCTTACCACAGCAGCTGATGGGATGCTAAAATGCCTAACAACGTACTTGACTTTGTATCTGCTGTTCACATAAGCTGCTAATTAACACTTGCACTAATTTCAAGGAAGGAAAAACCCTGTTGTTGAGCTTGTATTTGGCATAGGTACCCTTGCTGAGGAAATTGCTGTTTGCATCTGTTCTAAAATATGTCAGTTTGCCCCTTAAAACCAGTGGCAGTGTTGGCTTGTGTGGGCTTGTGTTACTTTATTGCTTGGATACCCTCTGGCGTCACGAGGTCTCACAGGCTTTAAGAGCCGGAGTGGTTTATGTGAAGTGGAAGCCTTGGAGGTGAACTAAGGAGCTTCCTCTCTTCTACCCAAGATGTACCAATAGTAGTAGAGGGTAACTGGAGAACCACTGTGTTTTGTGTTACGGACCAGAAGCACCTTGAATAAAATAATATGGGCTTAGTTACAAGGAAAACATAAAAGAAAAAATTGGCCTGAACCATTTCTGTGCCTTTGAAAAAGCAAAGAGTCAGCTTTGCTGCTAGAATATTTAATGTGTGGATCCACTTCAGTTTTTTCTCCTGCAACACCAATGATTGGTGTCCCTATGATAAAGAGTTGCAAAATTAACTGTAAAATATTAGATGCACAAATAGTAGCATTCTTCTGGTTTTAATGAGATGTGGAGGGCCCTTTGAACTTTATCTTCAAAATAACTGATTGTTATGTGTTGTTTTTCATGGAGGGTAGCAGGAGATTTAAATGCCTCTCTGCATTGCTTCTTGCAGTGATGTCTTATTTTCTTGAAAAAAGCCTGTTGGACAAATAGTTTGTAACACGCAAAATACTGAAAATTCAGAGCAAGTTAGGTGGTACACGTAGAATGGTATGATAAGCATCTCATCATAACTGACTTACCATTTAACAAAATCTGTTGGACTTTATCTGGGGTACGTGAAGCAAAGGAAGGGATGCTATGAATAAAGCAAACCAGAGGAAATATTCCTGCGGTTCATGTTTGTAATGAAATACAGACAGTACTACTTGGGAGAACCTTGAAGCCAGATTATATCCAGTGAGGTTTTCGCCTTAGTATCTTCCGCATAGGCAGTGCAGTATCGTTGCAAGGGCCAGAGTGGCCCTGTAAGCAGAGTGGCTGCGTGCCTGTGTGCTGCTGAGTAATTCATTGCATTTTGAGCAATGGCTTTTCATCCATGACTTGGATAATCTGCAGTCTGGCTGGTCCAAATAAGAGTACACGGGAGTTAATAGTATTAGGGCAGCACTTTCTGCCCTCATCTGTGGAGAGACTTCTCAGGGTGTAGAGAGGAGGAGGGATCTGAAGCAACATCATCAAAAATCAGAAAATGTTATATTCCTGAAGCTTTTACAACATGAGAAGTCTTCTTGCGCCCAATGCTTTCCTCAAGCTTCCTTGCTGTGAACATCTGACTACTAAACCTCTTTCTTGTCTGAAAACCTCGATCTAATCTGCTTTTATTAAGGCCTAGATCTCCCTGTTTAGTTTTCTGGGTTCCCGATGTAGCTGGGTCTTTGTGAGCTGTTGTGCTTCCAGCACCTCATACTTGCTGGGTTGTAGTCTTCACATTACAGCAAAAATCTTCTCTTGCCCTCTCTTTGTGTGTTTCATCTGCCAGTTCTATAGGACATTCAATTAGACCTTTTTCCCCTTCTGCTGTTCAGCTCGTATACAGTTGACGAGAGTTGCAAGGAAACATGTATTTTAAAAACTAATGTGCCAGCTGAGATGGAAGAAACTGCACAAATGAATTAATTGAATCTTAAAAAGGTATACACTTTCCACTTAATTTGGACTTTTGCAATGAAGCCTAAGTGTCTTTTTTTTTTTATTATGGTTTACTTAGAATTTCAGGAGAAGTGAAGTTCACAGCTAGTTAGATTCTACAGTTTCCTATAGGAAAGACTGTGATAACCGTTCGTTCATTTTGGGAGAATAGCATCTGTAGCAAAGAATTATTGTTCACTGTCGTAAATGATCGCTTCCAGCGATTGCATATCACATATCTTAGTTTTGGATTGTCTTTAAAGACTGAGTAACATATTTTTCTTTAAGATAGAAACTGTATACGTACTCAGTAGAATGTTTGCACCTGTTTCAGTAATGTGGAATGGATTCCAGTGTTGTGTTACTTTTGTTAGCTAATAGTATAATTCCCTGTTAATTAGAACACTGTTGGAGCTGGAAACCACCTTTGCTGCATGACTGGGACACTAGGGTTATGAAGGTAGTGTGCATCCCTTCAGAGAAAACCAGACTGCATCTCTTGCAGAATTACTGACTCATCTGTGTTTTCTGCTTTCCATAAGAAAAATAAAGTAAATGAAGGTGCAAACAAGGTCTTAGTTTTAAACGTTTTTATAAAAAGGTGATTTCTTTTTTTCAGATTCGGAGTTCTGTAGCCCTAAAAAAGGTCGAAATACAGTTACTTGTTTGGAACTGATTTCCTGTCCTGTGCCTTAAACTAGTGCTTAGTCCAGTAGCCAGATGCATTTGATGATAGTTAGGATTGCTCCTGCACTTGTGTAGGCTCAAATTAACTCTTTCAAAAACCTAGCTCTTCAAACCTTGTTACAACAGAACAGATTTAAGACAGCACAGCTTAGTTTGACCATTCCTTGTCAGTGTTTCGTCACTTGTGCCTTTACAGTTAGAGTTTGCACTACAAATACTTTGTAAACTAGTACATTTGAGTCGCTTTTCTCCATTGCACAGATTCTGAGAAGGTAATGGTTGAAATGTTACATTTCTTATTCTAACTTAATGCAAAGGTCTTGAATTTATTTACTTTTGAAGAACAAGTGACTTTTCAATATTTTTGAGAAGTTTGAGATGGTATATAGGTGAAAATTAAGCTTGGAGTTTCTTCCAGAATATATGGATTAAGGAATATCGTCTTTACCTCTGAAGTAAGATGTTTCTAACTGAGATAAGATTATTTGTCTAGGTTAGTTGGCCTTATTTTTGGAGAGAGGAAAAAATCAAGAGATAGGATTGGAAATAAGAACTCTATTCTATTCTGTCTTTTGCACATGACAGTTACAAGAGAAATTAATGGTCTGGTGTGTGTACACACTATTAATGCCTGAGTTTTTCTTAATAGTATCTAGAACTCCCGAGAGACCTAGAGTAATAGTGCAGAGGTTTGGTATGGGTTTTTTTTCTGTAAAGCAAAGCAGGAATTATTCAAGAACTTGGAAACACATATATGTGGATGTAATTATGAATTTTAATCCTCATATGTTTATGTATTGTAAATTTGCTGTTAGTGGACTACAAAATCAAAATTCTCAAAACTAATATTCAGCTTCTGGTTATAAAATGTACTAAACAACATAGACTATTTAAAATAAATTAAGGGATGCTCCTGATGTAGCCTCCAAATTAGTTAGGAATCCTGTGACTGTTGTGTCTGTTTTCAGTTTTTGTTAATACTCGGGCATGGTCCGTTCATCATTTGAAACGATCCATTTGGATCAAATGCTGTTCTACTCCATGGGTCATTCTTAACAGTCTGGTGGATGGAATGAAGAAAAGTCTGCTCAGTCTAGCAGTGCTTAGTAAGAAGGGAACGTACAAGGATGATTTAATGATAAAACTAAGGATGTGCTTTTAGAATAAATGTAAAAACTATTTAAATGTAAAATCTCTGATTTGACTTGTTTTTTTGTTTGTAGGAAATGTGACAGCACTCCATATTCTGCCGAATATAAGACGTGTAAAGCATGAATGCCTTTTTGGGGAGTGGGAGGGGATTTGCAGTTGTATATACCTATCAGAAATGGAAAATGATTGCACTTGCATTGAGTTTCTATAGATCAATGTCTTGTACTGTGTCTGATACTACTGATTAATTGTAGTAGGAGATCATTAATAGGGTAAAAAGAAATTATATATGTATATCTCTGCGTTTCCTCATGGGCGACTCATATTGTCTTTTCTGTGTACATGAAATAGTCTCAAAGGCACATACCCGTAGCATGCAAGAGTGTCTCTGTCGGCGGGAGTACTGGACGTATCACTGTCATAGTGCCAGCTGCTGCTGCCTGCTGCCTTCAGTGCTACCTCTTTTCTTAGAAGACTATCCGATATTAGTTCTGCTCACTAAAATCCCATTCTCGTTCATTTTTGCGGTTTGAGGTGGTATAAGTGATTATGTTGTCTTTTGTATTCTGAAATGTTTTCTGAAATGTTTTATTATAAATTTCCATAAAAGATTGGTGCCACTTAAGGCTATGTCTTTTTTAAACTATCAGAGTTTAGATCTTACATACACTACCTCTTTGTTTGCCAAAGTTGGTTTCTGTGTGTCTAATGAATTAAAATGTGCCTTTAAATTGGAGTTTCATAGCTTTTTTGATTGCCTTTAAGAAAGGAAAAAAGCCATATGTATTTCTGGCTCTTTGGTATAGTCCCAGAAAGACTATAAAAATGGGTTCATTGGAATGGAAAGCTGAAGGTTTCTATAGCAGAGGTATCTCCTGTCCTTTGAATTCGTTGGCCTGTTGTCAGAAGGTCCCTAATTAAAGGAACTGCTGAGGAATCAATGGTAGCTTTCTCACACAGTATGAATTCCTTAGGACGCTTGATTTTTATTGAGCCTTGATGTCAATTTCGGAGATAATTTTGTTGCTTTTCAGGATAGAAAGTGTGCTGTATGGATCTCCCTTACTTTTTTACTTGAAATCATATATTCCACGTATAGCGTTTCAAATCTCTGTATACAGACTGCGACGCTAAATCTAGCTCTGTAATGCTAGATTTAGCAGCAGATATCTGCTGAGAAACAGAAGCCTTTCCCTGTCTGACTCCTTTCTCTTTTCATGGTATGAAGACCAAACCAGCTTAGTGGCGGGAGTGGAGGAGTGGGTATGCTGGCGGTGGCGGTAGATGTGGTCTGTCTTTCGGTAGCTGCTTGCTTCATGAAGTGTTCTAGTCAAGACTGACTCCCGGAGCTCCCATCACAGCATTCGCCATGAATTAAGACTCGAATGTGCAGTGATAGCTATTGCTAATTCCTCATAAAACCCAAAAGCTTAATTAGGGCAGGTTTTGGCTTTGTGAATCTCTGAGTTGGCTATCAATGTACAGGCAGCTTATAAGAACCAATTTTCCCAGAAAAACCAAATTGCCTCACTTCAGACGGCTGAGGCAGCATTTAAACTATTCTTGCTTGTCTGCGGTAGACTGGCACTGCTCTCCACTGTTGTGAACAGATTGTGTGAATAACATAGAACTATTTAGGGCTTTATAGGGCTTTTTGGGACAATCCCAGCAGCTGCATTGTTGGAGTTCTGGCTGTTGAAAAGGGGGTTTGGCTACACAGAACGGCTTGCTGTTCATTGCCTAGCTGATACCTAGTTTGATAATTGTTTATAAACACTATAATAATATACTGGGAATTGAGTGTGTTGGTCACTAGCTAGACTGATTATGTATGGCATCTTCAATGTTTTAAAATACGGTGAAATGCACTTAATGCTAAAGTGAAATAACTGTAAATATGGCCTTATTTTTACACTTTTTTCTGGATGTAAAGACTAGTGATGACTTGTAATAATACAAATAAAAATGTTAAATTATTTAGTGGTAAGTGTTTGTCTTTCATTTGTCACGTGGTAAGCAGCTGTTTTCCCATTATTCTTAAGATGATTTTTCATGTACCAAACTTGCATTAGGTGGTAACTGTTGAGATTGAAGTTTGCAGTTTGTGCACAGGATTACTAAATGATAGTGTAGAGAATGTGTTTTATTTTGCTGAGCAGTCTCGTAGCCTTTTTGGTTTCCTTTGGAAGTGCAGAGAATTTCCCAGAATCTCCAGAACCTTACAGTGTTCACTCCTGAAAAACTTCGTAAAAGCTTGATGGAGAAGAGGCAGGTTGTTATTGTGTGGCTGTTCTGATGCAACACCGAGTCAAGAGCAAAGTCCAGAGAGCGTTCTGGCACTTTGCTCCAGTGTGTGACAGATGCCATCCTTAGGGAATAGAGCTTAGGCGTTTAAGTAAAATGTTAAGCAGAATGTGATTCTTTTTAATTGTATGAGGTTCACACTCAAAATGTATTTACTTTTCTTTGTGAAGACATGTGTGAGTCAACTGCCTTAGAATGAAGCCTTTCAGAGGGTGGAATAGAAAAATAACATGCCATATTTTTTTTATTAGTGGTTGTGGTAGTCAGAATCGGTTGGTGTGGACCGCAAATGATGACAGTGTGTAGACTACACAGGTTTACAGTCTGTGAAGTTTTGGGATTGCAGTGAGCAAGTAGCAACTACTAGGCAGCTACTAGGCAATTTGACTACACTACAAATTAATTTGTCCTAATTGTAATGAATTCTGCACCGCTTTTCTGAAACTCAGCCCCAGACGAATCACTTCATTTTAGAATCTGGAGCTGATAATTAAGTCATGAACACATGAACTTCATGCTATGAAAAAGGCTGAATGTAATAAAAATGTGTTGTTGCCATCTACTGGTAGAATAAGCTGTGTTCTCACAGTGGAAGTAACAAAACGTGGGTACGGTGTTACCTAGTTTAATACTATGTTAAGTAGCGTGAAGTGTCAGTGGTTGGTAGGTTTCGCGGTGTTACACTTAAAATCAGTGTAAATGCTGACTCTGAGCATGGTTTGTACCGGGTGGTGCAGGTGCAGCTGGGGACTGAAATGAAGAGACTTGCAGCAGTTAGATCTTGTCCAGCAGGGAAACATGTAATCTGTCTACCTGAGACAGAGCCCAATACCAAGTAGCACACAATTTTATTTAAAAGAAAAAAAAAAAATCTGAGTAAATAACAGGTTAAGGCAAACAAATAGCACATGGAATAAAACTGGTCAGAAGGTTGAGTGGCTGTGCTCTCGCACATGGGCCCTGGCTTGCTTGAGTTGAAGAGTCTTAGTTAGGTGTTTGCACAGATGCTTCGCTTTCTCTTTAAGCATCCCTCCTAGTTGAACGTGATGCTGACTGTCCTCCTTTTGTGCAGGATGTTCAGCCTGTAGGTGTAAGTTCAGGTCAGAGAACAGAAAAGCATACCATACGTGTTTGTGAAGCAAGATGATGCTTTTGGTGGTGTTTATTTATAAGGACTTTGGGGGGGCGGGGGAATGACGTTTTCCATTACTGTTGCTTTTCCCCCTACATCATAACCGATTTCAAATGGTGCTAGACAAAAACTGAGACTCTGAACACCAAGAGAAATCGGTCAGCCTGTGTAAGAGACATTTTCCTGGCTCAGAGAAGAATCCTCTTGTAGATGACAGCTACACATTCTTTAAAGACGACTATTCAGTGGTCTGATCAAATGCTTCATCCAGGCAGCGATCATCTTTTCTGTGTATAACAACGTGTTTGACAATAGTGAGGTCAAGCAAAAACAGTTCAGCTTCATTTTAGTGGTTTGGGTGCAAGGGTATGGAAGTCTACTGAAACATTAATAGACGTTACCAGCAATAAACTTAAAAAAATGAATATAGAAAACGGAGTGGATTCTGTGTGTACCAGTGTGACATCATCGTGATTGCTGAAGGCACTTTTGTGTTTAGCTGCTGAGATCGAATCGTTGGAGAGAATTTCTTTCTGTGTTTGCAGAGCAAGTCTCTGGGAGCTATGGAATGATAATTCTATGGCAATAGAGTCCCCAAGCACAGACTGGAAATACAATTGCTTGAAGTTAGTAAAGTAAATGTTAGGATCCTAGTGATTGTATAAGAAAGGAAAGGTATTCTGCCTGTCAAGGTGCAAGAAGTACTACGTTGGTTTTCATGCAATTTTCGGATCACTTTACTCTGGACAACTTTAACTCAATATCCATTGTTTATTAAGTAGAAATACATTTGAAGGAAGCTGTTCCTGTTGTGGCCCTAACTTGAGAGGGTGTATACAGTGGTTGTAGAAGTGTCTAGAAATCAGATGATGTTACAAAGTGGATGGCTGGCAAAAAAATAAGCATTGGATAAAGTGCTGTTTTAAGGAGTAGAGGCCGTCGGTGAAGTTAGCAGCTGCTTGATCTCCTCCCACGCTGTAATTCTTGCTCCTAGAACACTGATTTCAAATGGTGCTAGATACAAAGTGGGAAAATCTAAGCCACCATGTGAAACCAGCTTCCAGAGGAAGACACGTCTCATGCATGGCTGCAGGCTGAGAGAGAAAATCCTTCATCTCCAGCGCACCTAGAGAAAAATTTGTTTATTTAATTTTATTAGAAAGTAAGACAGTGAACTTTGGGGTAGTTATTGGCACTTTTTTCTTTTCAGCATCTTGTGAGTAGTTGAGGCTGATGTAGGAGAAATTAAATAGGTGATGAAGAAACCCATCACTCTGGCAGTGACTGTAACTTCCTTTCATAGCCAGGTGGAATATACTTACCAGCATGTAGCGTAGAGTATGCTGCTGGGGGGGGTGTGAGGAGTTTGTGCTCTACAGGAACACTTTTTTCATACCTTTGCAGGATAGAAACCTCATTCTGTCCGAGGCAGAGAGTGTTCTGGCTTTCCATCACTTACAGATCTCAGCAGCATCAGAGAAGCCAGGACGGGTCCTGTGCTTTTTGTGACAGGAAAAAGCAATGTGACTATCACGATGGAACTTCCTTTGTCGCTGTATCACGCAGCCTGTAAATAACATGCTTTTCATAAGCGAGGAGATTTTTTTCATAAGCAAGTTGCAGACTTTGTGAGACAAGTTTTAAATTCTGTAGGGACAATGAAAATAAATTGCATGGAAACTACTTT